CTGTGTAGTGTCGTGTCTTGTGGATTTATTAGTGTCCAGTGTCGTACTGTGTCATGTCGTGTAGTGTCGTGTCTTGTGGTTTTATCAGTGTCGTGTCGTGAAGTGTCGTGTCTTGTGGTTTATCAGTGTCGTACTGCAATGTTATTTCATCTAGTCTCTTGATTTGTGGGGTGTTGTGTGTTTTTTATATCATTTTTATGATGCAACTGCACCGCCACCCGGTTAGCTCAGTAGGTAAGAGTGGTCCAAGCCTCGGCCGAACCAACACTCAGAGTCTTTGAATAATTGAGGAGAAGGTGCTGCCTTTGTAATAACATCTGCAAATCGTTAGACTTTCACGTGGTTCGGATGACCACGTTAATGGCTGTCCCGTCCCTAATTAACTAGAGACGTTAAAAGAGGACTACGAGTTTATTAGTCGAGTTACTGTCAAGTGTTATCCTCCATAATCAAAGTAAATTATTATTATATGTTTATTTCAACTTCTGACATTTTTGCTACATGAAAACAGAATATTGCGGGCATTACTGATTTTACAAAGATGTAAACAAATTTAACAATTGTACAGACGTTTCACAATCTCACAGTTCTGTGAAATAATGATAATAATAATAATAATAATAATAATAATAATTATTATTATTATTATTATTATTATTATGGTGTAACTTTTATCTGCAACTCGTCTCGCAACAGCTGTGTGGCAACGCTGTTGCGAGACAAGTTGCAGACAAAATTGCTCCGTGTAATCGTTCCTTTAATCCTCTGTGCAATCATCATTTCAGCTGAAAGAGCCACTCATAGTCGACGTAGAACAACTTATGAAACTTTCTATTGAATGTATATACATTTGTAAGAGGTGAGACTAAAGAAGGTATCAAGTACTACGAGATCAGTTTTTTTCATACTAGGCAAACATATTTTTATTGGAAAAAAGATTGCGGTTGAGTTTGCTGACGGGGCACGAACTCGTGAATCAACTGCACAATGACTCTCATAAGTCGTAAGTATGTAATTCTGAATACATTAGGCTATGATCCAGACGGATAAGTTTCCTGTGTAATACTGATACTAAGTAACTTATGCAGAAAATTCATATCTTATTAATTTTTCTAGAGACGATCAAGTGGATTTGGGTTTTAGTATTTTGGACTGCCTACCTCCCCCAGACGAGGAGTAAGTGACGTCAGTTTAGTGGATACACTGATATGATACAGTAAATGTAATATCGTTAATATATTGTTATTTTCTGCAGCATTTTGTCAGATCAAATCCGTGAACTGAACAAGCAAGTAGACAAGCTAGAGAATCATCTTCGGTAAGAAGGAATAACATGGATTTACTGGCCATGTACAGATCACACTAATTGGTATTGTTTTTGTGTATTAGTGCTTGTCAGATTCTTGACAAACATCGTCTTTCTAAACCGGTTCATTATATCGTGGACACAGAAGTGAGTGTTATTCTGATCCTTCTTTTATAATTGGATAGGAATATCCCAAAAAAACCTTCATGACAACTAAACGTTTCTTTACACCATTAACTATTATCTCAGGCAAACATTGATGAAGCTAAAAATTTGATGACTACGTTAGCAACCTTGACCGCCAAACGGTAAATGATTCAATTTACATCAGTTATTGGATATCACCTTTTTGAACTCATAAGAAATGGTTTTACTCTAGATCACCGCCAGTAAGAGAAAATAATTGGAAGGAATTGCTAAAGGACTTGTTAAGCCTACAGCAACTGGTGTATGACTGTCTTGACTCCGATACATGTTACGAGGTATGGCCACCCAAGACATGAGAGGGAAGGGTACTTGATATTCACTTCGAGTGGTAATTTTGATTACTTAATTCACTGTCAGATATATACGAAAACACTGCTCCATTCTGGAATAACCGAGAATATTCTCCTTGCTGGTCAAATGTTGCACAAGTCAGGCATTGCAGAACATCATCGACCTCCCCAAGATCAGTTATCAGGACCTCGCATACCATACCGTCAGTCTGTGGAGCTGGTATTAGAGGCAAGCAGAGAATACTATAACTCGTCAAATGATTTATCAGATTCTGCTATGGAATTGGCCAGGTACGAGTCTTAGTTCAAGAATAGCATACAGAGGATTTTGCGTAAAACTACTGTCCGTTTTCGCATTAGGAAAGGTGTTTTCTACATCAACTTGAAATATTTGTATCGTTTCTTTTATATTTTCTTAGAACATGCCTTAACTTGTTCGAGGAACGACCTGTTCAAATCCAGGAAGAATTTAATCTTGTCGAAGCTCTTTCTTTGTTAAATGACTTTGGCATTCAAGTTCTTCCATTGGAAGGTAGGAAAACTAGTAAATACTGTCACTTTTGAATCTATAATGTATCTGCAGTATATTTGAAACCATTTTTTTATTTTAGTACGTCTTTGTGACGATAAGCTTGGTTTGGTTCAAAAGGCTTTAGAAAGCTCGCTTGATGCCTACAAGAAAACGCAAAAGGTAATTTACGTACCGTAGATCAGCGACTGTTAGTATCAGCGACCATAGTCTAGTTTATAATAATAGAGATGGTAATAATCAAAGGGTAAATTATACACCGTGAAAACATGAAAAAAGAGCTCTTTTACTCCGACGAAGGACTAGCGTCCGAGACGTCAGTAAGTTTTTTCATCTATTCACGGTGTATAATTTACCCTTTGATCATTTCTGTTTCATTAGAAACACCGACGCAGCTCACACTAGTTWTTAGCTAGTTATCTCTTCTAACATATAGAGATTTTAAATGCTTTAATCTCGATAGCTTTAGTAAAGATATTTTAAATGAAGATTGGAATACTGTATATAGTGCCCAAAATCTAAATGTTATGTGGGATATATGGAAAACCAAAGTTCTAGACATAGTGGAAAAGCATGCCCCAACATGCACTAAGCGGTTTCAATCAAAAAAATCGCCACTAAGKGATTAATCGATCTAAAACAATCGTACATGATCGATACAAATTAAAACTAAGAGCGATATGTTCTTAGGGACCGATCATTGTTTTAGCGGGGAGAGGGAGGAGGAGGAAATTTGTCAGAAACCTGACAAAGATATCCCATTTACAAGTGGTAACGCAAGATACACTAATTATGACATTACCAATGAAATGTTACCGGTATTTCATTAAGCCTGAAGCGAGATGACGTTTTACCCCCGTCTCTAGACCATAATCCTTTTCACAGTGCTTTTGTTCTTTAATTATGACTATTGTTCCTGTATTCTCTAAGGAATCAAAAATTTTAATATGAAAGAATTTTAAAAACTATTATGATATAGAGTCGGGGGTTAAACGTCATCTTGCTTCAGGCTTATTCAAACCCACCACAAAGAGTAAAGTTTTTTCTTTATTATGCATGTCAAAAGCAACCGGCCTTGATATGTTATTTGTTGGCTTGTTCGAGAATGTGCTGATATTGTTTCTTCTATTAGTGAATTATTTAACAATAGGTTAGCCCTAGGCATTTTTCCTGACGAATGGAAGTGTGCCAAAGCGTGAAAGAAGTGACGCAAGCAACTATTGCCAAATATCGGTAATTTCTATAAATTGCTAAGGTATTGCTAAGGTATTCAAAAGATTAATATTGACCGTGGCAACATCAATGCTGTGGTATTCTTAGATCGACACGTTTGATCACGAAATTCTATTTGCTAAACTTCATGCCTATGGAATATAGGGGAATGCCTATAATTGGTTCCGATCCTATTTGAACACCCGCACTCCAAAATGTTCGGTCAATGCCGGTTCACTGTCAGAAACATATACTCTCAAATGCGGTGTTCCTCTGAGAACAATTAAGGGGCCGCTGTTATTCCTACTATAAATAAATGATCTACCTAATTGCCTTTCTCATTCACGACCTAGAATGTATGCAAATTACACTCACTTCACATACGCTGACAATAATATGGATTTGGGTAACATTATTTCTTGCTGCTAACAAAATTACTTTCAATATGACCAAATATGAAACCTTATTTATAAAGCTTTAGTGCAGCCGCACTTCGATTATTGCAGTGCGTTTGGGGTAATTGTGGCAAAAGCTTATCCGATAAACTACAAAGACTTCAAAATCGTGCAGCCAGGGTGTTGACCTTTTCGAGTTTTGACGCTGATGCAAAAAGTCTATTTAAGACTTCTAGACTGGAAAAACCCAAGTGCTCAACGTCAAATTCAAACAACTGCCATAGTTTACAAATCTCTAAACGGCATAACCCCTGAAGATCTAAGTTCTAAATTCGTGCACAGAGGAGCGATACAACCTCATACTCTACGTGACACTAATAACAAACTTGCTATTCCTCTACAACACTTGAAAAACAGTTTTAGTTATCGTGGTGCCGTTAWGTGGAATAGTTTTACCTAACAATGTACGACAGGTACGAATTAACACGGCATTCATGAAAAGCAGGTTTTCATTTATTTAATTAATTACTTATTGTATAGATTTTTTATTCTATCTTGTATATATAATTTATTCCAATGTTTTCTAATTTAATCCTGATGAACTTTACTACATTACAAATTTACAGTGTATAAATAAACTGTCCTATCCCTACCGTCCTGAATAAGCGTTGCCGTGCGGATACTTCTTCATATACTGAGTCATTGCTTTCGGTTGTTTTCCTAGATTCTTAGTCTAGCTAGCCTATTGCAAGTGTCAGGGTCAGAAGAACAAACAAGAAAAGGAAGAGTTCTTATTTTAGTAGCGGAAGCAGCTCTCGCTAAAAGTGATTTTACAGCGGCATATGGTATATGCCAGCAGCTAATGAAAGAGGGTTACCATTCTGCCTGGCGTGTCTGCAGGTATGCTTACAATGTTGTGATATGCCATGATGAGAATCAATCAACATTAATTAAGTACTACCTTGTGTGTTTCTCAACAGAGCTGTGGGAGAAAATGAAGATTATAAAGACCTTATAGCTCGGTGACTAAACCTTTTCAGTTCTGCCTACCTACCTCTCTATATAAGTCATATATTTATAACCATATCTAATCAGTTTTTAATGATATTTGTTTTTAGACAGTCGCTGTTATCGTTTGCGTTAACTCACTGTTCTCCAGACGTGATTGAAACATTGATCAACAGTAGGAGCCTAGTAGAAACGCAGGTGCAGAAACACCACCTCAACAAACAGTATTTTTAACCAAAAACCCATACTTATTCCTGTTTTTTTTCTTGTTAAAGATCTTGTACAAAGAACTTAGTAGGCACAACGGCAAGGAAGAAGAGGTTTGTAAAATGTTAACTTGTTTATCTAACCTGGAGACCGCAGAGCTGCGGTTTTTCTTATATTCATCTCGAGGGTGGTTTTTTTTTTTAAAAAGGAGGACGAGGAAGAAAGCGAAGCAAAAAACAAGAAATCACTGCTTTCTCAAATGGCGGGACGTGATTGGTGGAGAGATACAGTGATGTGGATACGACCTTTACATCTTGGTTCTAAAGCCTTGAACGGGCAATGTCCGAATGATAATGAAAGTAACGAGCTCCTCATTCAAAACTTTCACCCCTTCTATCAAACGTTGATGAGGAAGGACAAACAGTACCAGTTAGAGGTAGAGTAACTACTTTATTCTTTTAGACAGTTTGTTCGTTAGTAAGTAGTGAGTTGCGGATAACATGATCGTGTTCAATCTGAAATCATAGGCTGGTCTTCCGTATTCTCAACTTTGTGCTCAAAGGAAATCCAACAGTGAGTTTTATATTAGACACTGTTTGTTACGATTACAAAAACTTTCCGAGTGCCGCGCCGAGGGAAGTATAGAGGAACCGGCAACAGAAGGTAAGTTGCTTATTTGTTGTTTTATCACAATGGTTATAGAATACGCTAGAAAAATCATGGTTATTATATGTATTTCTTTAGTTCTGCTTTCGCTTGCGGATTCAGCGTTAAAGTTTGACACAGCACAAGGTTTGGCGTATCTGTTGGCCTTACCAAAGGTATGAACGTGTTATTGAATATACTGAAACAAACCCGGCTTCTCTTAACCCTAACCACGTTTAATTTTTAGTTTGGAACTGTTGTTCAAACATGTCATACTGATATATATGTCTTTGAAATTTTGAAGCTTTCAGAAGCCAACCAGATATTCCAGAATTACGCCAATGACTACTTCTGCCTTCACCTGGCCACCTATTCCTTCGCTTTAGAGATCTACACCACGATAAACCCTGACGAGACATTGGACCAGCCACCAGTTTATTCCCAGGACCCTGATGACGTCATAACTCACGTGATAAACGAAGTAAACCACATTGTTGGATGTAATTGTCCTGAAGATCTGCAAGATGTTTGTTCGTGTTTGATCAAGTGGTATAATCAGATGACTGACTTTGCGCAAGCGCAGTTGTTACATAGCCTTGGGCGAGGTAAGATGAAGTAACAATTGCCATACCGAACATTTGATTCAAAATGTTAGTTGCTATATGTTTCGCCAATTTAAATGAATTTGTATTTTATTTGAAGGTGTGGACATTGGTCGTTTTGCACGTGATTTGGAGTATAAGAAAGAAACGATTTTAGGTTTGGCAATGTAAGTAAAGAACACTTTGCCTACAACGTTACAGTCACTAAAGGTTGAACCCAAAGCATTTAACGTAGGCATTAAAGGATGAGTCTTGATGAGCTTGATCTACAGAGGAGCAATGATGATAAAGTGATCAATTTACTAAAAAGTTTACATAAAAATCAGGCAATGCACACATAGAAACTAAATTATCCTACTTTTCGGTTATTAGGACAGTTGAAGATAATGTGTTTACGACTGCAATATCATTGGCTGATCGTTATGACATATCTCAATGGGAAGTCCTGATTGGTCATCTAGAGTGGCTGTTTTCAGATAGCAGGTAAGACTAATATGAGCCATGCACAGCACTCAAGAAATAGTCTGTGAGCCTAGTATAAGAATAATTTAACAAATTCATTATTATGTTATATTTTCGTGTAGGATGTTTGTATTTATTAATAGTTACCTTTTGCGATTTTTAACTGAATATATTTTAAAAAATTCAACTATTTTACCTCTTTCATAGTTTTGTTTTTATAAAATGCCAAGTGTGAGATTAATATAAACTAACCTGGTTTTTTTTACCTTCTGAAAAAAAAAAATTATTATTATTGTTATTATTATTATTATTATTATTATTATTATTGTCGGTTGTTGTTGTTATTGTCGTTGTTATTGTTATTGTTGTTATTAATATTGCAATTATGTTGTCATTATCGTTATTAGAATGGCAACCAAGGAAATACAAGATCGCGTAAATCGTCTAGAAATGATGACTTGCTTGATGAAAGATCCTGTTCAGGTATAATTTGCTCCATCTCTTACATATTCACGATAGGAGAGTACATGAAAGAATATTTTCTACTTTTATTTAGTATGTTACTTTTCTTATTGTAGACCTCTATTAGGATGATGAACAATATTTACCCTACGATAGATGGTACAATGCACGCTCGTTTGATATACTATTACATGTTACTGCAACAGTGTCAAGAGAAAAATGCCCCAGTACAGGTTAGTATGTAACACGGTAGGTAATAAAAGGAAATGATACGAGGTTACTGTATCCCAGTACAGGTTAGCATGTAACACGGTAGGTAATAAAAGGAAATGATACGAGGTTACTGTATCCCGGTACAGGTTAGCATGTTACACGGTAGGTAACAATCTCGTACCCAGAGCCCTTATTTCTTACTGCGCATGCTCGACGAAATAATTGGGCTCTGGAAAACTCCAATATTTCCTGTGCTGTGATTGGTTCTCGAGAACAAAGAAAGATACCGGAAGTAAGAATTACAGTACTAGGGAAAATAAACGATATGGCGTCCCGAATCACAGGTAGCCCAAGCTTGGTTTCTGTGGTGTCCTGTTATAAGGAAATGTATGGGGAATCATCAAAAATTTCAATAAAATCGTCAAAACGTGAAATAAAGCCTCGAAATTTTACCCTATCATTGAGAAATAGCACTTCTTTCGCTCTGCGTGGTTATTTTTTGAATTTAGCCCGTTTTAAGTCTTCGTATCGTAAATGCGGATTCGATTTGTATATCGTATTTCTTCGAAATTATGGTGAGTGTATTTTTTAACGGCCTAAG